AGAAAATGAAATACACAGATGTAACATGAGTCACACTATAAGATGGGTCACATTTGGCTTGATAACAGTATATGTGAAAAAGATATAGATGTTGTAATAGGCTGTAAGCTGAAGCTCAGTCAATAGTGCAATGTAGCAGCTAGAAAAGCCAATGTCATTCTAGGCAGCCTCAATAATAGTATAATGTCTTACTGGAAGTTCTAGTTCTATATTCTGCTTTGGCCAGACCTCACTTAGAGCGCTGTAATTATCTCTGGGTGCCACAGTTTCGGAAGGATATTGACAGGCTGGAAGATGTCCAGGGAAAGGTGATCAAAATGATAAAAGGTCTGGAAGCCAAGCTTAATGAGAAGAGGCATAGGGAGCTTGGTATATTTAGCTTGGAGAAGAAAACATTGAGAGAGGGTATAATAGTAATGCTTAAATATTTCAAAGGATTCCATATTGAGGAGGAAGCAAGTTTGTTTTTTCCTACTCTAGAGATAACAAGCAATGGATTCAAACTACAGGAAAAGAGATTCCACCTAAGCACTAGGGAAAGCTTCCTGACAACAAGAACTCTTAAATATTGGAATAAGCTGCCTCGAGGTGTGGTGGAGTCTCCTTCTCTGGATATTTTTAAACAGAAGCTGGATGGCCGTCTGTCAAGATTGCTCAGATTTATGTATGACAAAGGTTGGACTGGATGGCCCTTGTGGTCTCTTCCAACTCTGTAATTCTATGTTAGCAAAGATCTGTTGGGAAGTTAGCTAACAGGAGCTAGCATGGTGTAATGATCTGACTAGAACAGTGGACTAGGGCAGGATTCAAATTACTTACTGTTCAGCTATAGAAATCCACTGGGTCACACTTCTGGGTCACACTTAAAGGAAGGCAATAGCAAACTCCTCTAAGTAAATATTGCTAGGAAAACCAGAGTTGACTGGGAGGCACGAACAAATCTGACTGCTTTCTCACTGATTCCATGTAGTATAATGTTTATACTAGCTCAATTGGTTTATGAAAGAAAGAACAACCAATAAATGATACTTACAATGTATTAAGTGATATGTTAAATTGGTCAGGGTGCTAAACAATTAGCATTATTTGAACTTGTTTGTACTCAAATTTAATTATAAACCGAATTTGGTAGTTTGCAGTGCCATCTTGTGGTCTGATGAAATGTACACAGATATTTGGCATGCCATCAAGTAAATTAAATTCTCTAAACTTTCTTGTAACAGTGCACATGATGATGCTATAGCTGTCTTCAATCTACCCTATATGTATAAAGCTTGAAATTTTAGTCAAACAATCACCCTCTCAAAAAACAAACAAACCTAGATTAACTTGTCCATGGGTCAATATAATGGTACCCTAACTCTTGTATATAAAAAGGGACATACCACCTTCTCTGAGCAGAATAGCAGAAAATGAGGACTTAAACCATCTCAAGAGAACCTAAAAGAAGCACCAATACCCTCTACTCTCGCTGCTGTGACACTGGTTCTGTCTGTCTTGGGAGGAAAAATGATAGTGGTTCCCCCTGAGGCAGTGTTAGTGCTTTCCTCTCTCTGTGAAATGACCCTCAACTTATCAATGGATCCTCTCAAAATCCATAATTTTGACCCCAAAACCTGGTCATCACTTTTACATGAGTATATACAGTCATTCAGGAAATAAAACCCGACTGCTCATTGGAGGGAAGGATATTAGAGGCAAGGATTAAGTTCTTTGGCCACATAATGAAAAGACAGGAAAGCTTAGAGAAGACAATGATGCTGGGGAAAATGGAAGGAAAAAGGAAGAGGGGCCAACTAAGGGCAAGATGGGTGGATGGCATCTTTGAAGTGACTGGCTTGATCTTGAAGGAGCTGGGGGTGGTGATGGCTGACAGGGAGCTCTGGCATAGGCTGGTTCATGAGGTCACGAAGAGTCGGAAGTGACTGAACGAATGAACAACAACAACATACAGTCACTAGGTTCTTGTGGGTTTTTTCGGGCTATAGAGCCATGTTCTAGAGGCATTTCTCCTGACGTTTCGCCTGCATCTATGGCAAGCATCCTCAGAGGTTGAGAAGGTCTGTTGGAAGTAGGAAAAATGGGTTTATATATCTGTGGAATGGCTGGGGTGGGGCAAGGAGCTCTTCCCTGCTGCAGTTAGGTGTGAATGTTTAGCTGATCACCTTCATTAGCATTTGAAGGCCTGCCTGAGCCTGGGAAAATCTCTTGCTGGGAGGTGTTAATCTGTGCCTGGTTTTTCCTCTCTGTTGTTTTGCTGTTGTAATTTTAGATTTTTTAATACTGGTAGCAAGATTTTGTTCATTTTCATGGTTTCCTCCTTTCTGTTGAAATTGTCCACATGCTTGTGGATTTCAATGGCTTCTCTGTGTAGTCTGACATGGTGGTTGTGTGCTGTGTCCAGCACTTCTGTGTTCTCAAATAATATGCTGTGCCAGGTTGGTTCATCAGGTGCTCTGCTATGGCTTACTTCTCTGGTTGAAGTAGTCTGCAGTGCCTTTCATGTTCCTTGATTCGTGTTTGGGCGCTGCGTTTGGTGGTCCCTATGTAGACTTGTCCACAGCTGCATGGTATACGGTAGACTCCTGCAGCGGTGAGAGGATCCCTCTTGTCCTTTGCTGAACGTAGCATTTGTTGGATTTTCTTGGTGGGTTTGTAGATTGTTTGTATGTTGTGTTTCCTCATCAGCTTCCCTATGCGATCAGTGGTTCCCTTGATGTATGGCAGGAACACTTTTCCTCTGGGTGGATCTTCATCTTTACTCTCGTGGCTTGTTCTTGGTCTTGCAGCTCTTCTGATGTCTGAGGTGGAGTATCCATTGGCCTGGAGAGCCCAGTTGAGGTGGTTCAGTTCATATTGGAGGAGGTGGGGTTCGCAGATTCTTTTTGCACGGTCTGCCAAGGCTTTAATGGTGCTTCTTTTTTGACTTGGGTGATGGTTGGAGTTTTTATGTAGATATCTATCTGTGTGTGTGGGTTTTCTGTAGACGGTGTGACCCAATTGTTGATCTGGTTTGCGGATGACTAGGACATCTAGAAAAGGCAGTCTTCCTTCATTTTCTTTTTCCATGGTGAACTGAATGTTTGGGTGGATGCTGTTAAGATGGTCCAGGAACCTGTTGAGTTCTTCTTCTCCATGGCTCCAAATGGTGAAGGTGTCATCCACATATCTGAACCATATCGTGGGCTTTTTGGTTGCTGTCTCCAGGGCTCGTTGTTCAAAGTGTTCCATGTAGAAGTTAGCTATGACCGGGCTGAGAGGGCTCCCCATAGCTACTCCATCTTTCTGTTCGTAGAATTCATTGTCCCACTGAAAGTAACTGGTGGTGAGGCAATGGTGAAACAGAGCCGTGATGTCTTCTGGGAACCTCTGGTTGATGAGTGCCATGGTGTCTGCTACCGGGACCATGGTAAATAGAGATACCACATCGAAGCTGATCAGTTTGTCGTTTGTATTTAGCTTGAGATTGCTGATTTTTTTCTATGAAGTGGGCTGAGTCCTTGATGTAGTGTGTAGTGAGCCCAATATGGCTTTGTAACTGTGCAGCAAGAAATTTTGCTAGGTCGTATGTGGGGGATCCAATGGCACTCACGATGGGTCTGAGTGGGGTGGAGTCCTTATGGATTTTTGGGAGTCCATAAAGCCTGGGTGGATGGGCTTCCGATTTACATAGCTGTTGTCGTATGTCAAAGTTTATGGAGGAGTTCTTAATCAGGGTGTTGGTTTTCTTGGTTATTTTGGCAGTTGGGTAGAAAACATCATTGCCAATGTTGAATCAGCAATTTATCGCCTCCCCGAGGAGGAAGCAGAAGAAGTACGAGCAGAAACAGCAAGGATCCTGAAAAAGGCAAAACTTCCCTCCAGTAACATTACTAGGAAGGAAAGACAAGCCATCAGAGAACTGAATTCAGATCCGGATATCCTCGTTATGCCAGCAGACAAGGGGAATGCCACAGTTATCATGCATACAGAACAATACAAGGAGAAGATCAGAAAACTCCTGGACCCTACTATATACAAAAAACTCAAGCAAGACCCAACTGCCAAAATAAACAAGAAAACCAACACCCTGATTAAGAACTCCTCCATAAACTTTGACATACGACAACAGCTATGTAAATCGGATGGAATTTTGAAAGGGTCATCTTTAGAAGTTCGATAAACTATAATCTTAACAGAAAATGTAGTTTAATACTTATTTTGATTTTTTTTACAGTCCTGGGAAAAGATATTTTATTTAAAGGTTTAAGTGTATCTTTTTTATTATTTGAGCAAGTCATGTTAAAATGGGAATAACTTCTAAAATACCTTTAAAAATACTATTAGTTAAGAATAAACATTCATTTTTTCATGAAATAAATAATATTTCACATGTTTTGTTACGTCCATTGTACATAGAAAACAAATGGAAATGAAAAAGAATAAGGAAATGACTCACATAAGATCATATAAGCAGTCTGCACACTTGAAGGCAAGGTATCACATATAAAAGTTACTCAAACAACTTACATGAGTTATTTCAGAAAAATAAAAGTATGCATAAACAAACTTCATAATGATTAGCTCTGAAGAGAGGTTATGACATAATGGTGCAGTTAAAACTGTTGAAAAACATAATTTTTTGTTTTTCTTCAAGGAACTCAGTATATCATGATATAATAGTAATAATAATAATAATAATAATAATAATAATAATAATAATAATAATAATAATAATAACAATAATTACTTATTTATTTATACCCTGCCTATCTCCCCAAGGGAAGATATATAGCTCTCTGAGGAAGATATATACGTGTATATTGTTTTGAAATGTGACCCCTCATATCTATAAGATCAGTTTTATGCATCATTATTAATTCCCATGGTTAGTCAACCAAAATTTTCAAAACGTTTTTTAAAATACTAGATTATTTAGTTCTCCTTCCCATCTCCCCCCCCCCCCCCCCATCCCAAATCAGAGGTACATGTGTCACAAATAATTTTGATTGTTGTTGCAGGGACAAGTGATCCGTATGTCAAATTTAAAATTGGTGGGAAAGAATTCTTCAGAAGTAAAACAATCCATAAGAATCTTAATCCTGTATGGGAAGAAAAAACTACTATCATTATTGAACACTTAAGGGAACAGCTGTATGTAAAGGTAAGCCCCAGGCATTTTTTTTAAATAGTAAAAAAAGAAATGTGCTAAATTATACCAAATCAGAACTTGAATTTTACATTATGCTAAAACAAACTTCAGTCTTATAAAAGTTATGTCCCATCTTTGCTTTTTAATGGACCTCAAAATTGTTTAGAACACAAATATCTGAAATATCTATAAAATGTAGGTTAATGTTTGGAAAATAGCGACTGAAAAGCAAAATTGAAATGTAAATCTTGATTTTTACAGAAGTTAGTGATAGTTTTGCAAATTCTACAAATGTGTACTTGAAACTCTCCTTGTATAAACACAATTCATCTGTCCTGTTGAATACAATTTTGGTTTGCTGGCATTTCCAATTATGATACCAATGGAATTTCCTGAAGTAAGAGATGCTCCTTCTTTGTCCATTTTAGGTATTTGATTATGACTTTGGGCTTCAAGATGACTTCATAGGGTCAGCTTTTTTGGATCTGAATTCACTAGAACAAAACAGGTACTGCATTATAGAACTGCTGAATTGTGTCAACAAAAGTTTTGATTCTTTGTGTTTTCTCATGGATAGAGGAAATGGCTTCTTGTTCCATGACATAATTATATTGATGTTATCGCCAGTTACTGCTCTTCTGAGTTATCATTTACTGTATATACTCGAGTGTAAGCCTAGTTTTTCAGCCCCTTTTTAAGGCTGAAAAAGCCCCCCCCCCTTGACTTATACTCAGGTGAGGGTCCTGGCAGGAAGGCGTGGGGCTGAAAGAAAGGCTTCTTTCAGCCCCATGCCTACCTGCCAAGACCCTCACCTCTCCACACAGCAACCCAGCTCTCCTTCCTCTCCTCCTCTCTTGGTGCCAGTCTTTCCCACTTTTCCTTACTTATATACACCCAGCATTTTCCCCAAAATGTATAGTTAAAATAAACTGTGGTGATTATTGGAAGGATACGTAAGCACATTTACATTAAACAATGTTAGAATTATGATTTAATCAGAGTTGGGCAGTCTTGTCTTAAATTACAATTTTATGTAAATATTCAAAAACATTAACCTACCTATCCCTCAATTAATGTAATTTTATTAGTATCTATTTTTATTTTGAAATTTACCAGTAGCTGCTGCATCTCCCACCCTTGGCTTATACTCAGGTCAATACATTTTCCCAGTTTTTTATGATAAAATTAGGTCCCTTGTCTTATATTCGGGTCGTCTTATACTCAAGTATATGCAGTAAGTTCTTATCAGACTTATGGGTTCATTTGACTTTTTTTCCCTCTACAGACTTTTCCAGAAGATAGAACATTTAAGCCTTCTATGATAGTTTCCCCTATCTACAACTGTTTATGCCATTGTTTATTAACCTTCAATAGAATACTGATTTTTTTTACATTAGTGTAACACAGGGGAGGCAACTGTGTGGCCTGCGAGGTGTGTACCTCACTGACCTCCCGGCTCCTCCAACTTTTGGGAAGAAAAAAGCTGCCAGAAATGACAGTGAAGGCATGATTTTCACATATCATTCTGTTTCATTTTCTCCCTCAGTTAAACACAGCCAAAACCAGGCCTTAAACCATTCCTTGGAGCAAAGGATACCAAGATGTAACCTGAGAAAAGGAATGAATATGAATTGGTTGTCTGAATAACTTTTTCTCTGTCCCTATTGTAGCTATTGTCATTATTTTAGTATCCTGAAGTTCCACTGAATTCCATTACTCCTCATACCATTCAGTCATGTTGCACTTTTGTACTGTTATAGTCCACAACATAATACAATCACAGTTTGACATACTAAAAGCAGTACTGTGAAGCAGCCTTAAAATCATCCGTAAAAGCAGCAGACATGGAAAGAGAACAAGTATTGTACATCTTTCCTAAGAAGTTTGTTTTTAATCAGTAGCATTATTATATTAATGCCATTGGATGTGGCGAATTGCTTCCAAAGACTGCATATTCCACAGAATAGATGCCATTCTCCTTTCTTTAAATGCTAGCATGCAGTTCAGGGTTGTCTCTAGGGTCTCAATGTCGATCAAATAACATGAAATGAGGTAAGCAGGCTTCTGCATGCCTTCCTCTATATCGGGGGAGCGCCAAGTACAAACAGACCAAGTGTAGCCTCCAAGGCTACATTTGGTGCAGCTCGGATGCCCTATACATCCCCACGGGTAAAAGAAATTAGCAAAAAAGGTTAATTTGTATTACGAGAGAGTTCCAGGAGAGATACTTTTTATTCAAAGAAGATGCAGAGCCCCCCTGTTTTGTTTTGCACTTCTAAGTGTTGGCCACTTGAGTAGGGGGGATTGTTTCAGATCTGGAACAGCCCACATTGGTCTTGTGGTCAGGCAATTGGCCAACAGGTGCCCTGACCTTGTGCACTCCTGCTTTGATGTTTCAGCTTCTGTATAGTCACAAGTTTGGTACTTGCTCTGCATGTTTGCTTTACATTCCTCGTTTGTAGTGTATTGGCAGAAGGATAGCACTAGGTAAAACATTATTGCTTAAAGTGTGCGTTCCGATACAGGCAATCTGCTTAACCTGATTTCTTGGAAACATCTGTATTTGCGTTAACCCAACAAGCTTTTTTGTGTATGATGTGATTTTTCTAGGCCAATTGATGTTACCCTAAGTCTGAAGGATCTACATTATCCAGATGAAGACCTTGGGACTATATTATTGTCTGTGCTGCTGACACCAACAGACCAAAGGGAAGGGGTAAGTGTGTGCTAAACATGTTGGAAAGTAAGTGCAGATTTCCACCCTGTTTTTGACCCAATGCATGTAACCCTTGTGAGTGCTCTATCACCAGACAATAAAATTAAAAAGGTTTTATTAATGTATATAAGGTCCTCCTTTTCAGTATTTATTTACAGTTTCTGGTCAGTTTTTGTTATTAAGGTGACTGCAGATCCCAAACTTCAGATTATGTTTTCCCATCATGATGTTGGTATAGTCAGGATTTTGAAAAAAAATCTAAACATACATGCTAGGTTTATTTTCAACAAGGAATTTTGGATCTAGTGCTGTGCCATTCAAATTGCAACATTTCGGGGCTATGGCAGTGGATTTTCAAAGTAAGGTAACAAAACAGGCAGGTTGCTCTATGTAATTGCTGGAACGTTGAGGATATTTACCTAGAACAAAAAAAATGTATGCTGTGCTTTATGTACCCTTCCATGAAAATGTCATGCCTGGGGCAGAAAAGTGGTCAAGAGCAAGAAACTGAATCAAAATAACAAAAAACAAAATTATATAGTATTTGGAATTTTCCACGTGCTTGTATATGTGTACACATTATTGGATGTAGCAGGATAATACTCTTTTTGAATCCATATCTATTTGCTTATGTTCCCACTCATTGCTCGTGTTTTCTGAAATTTTATTTTCTGTAGCTTTGTTCTTAAGTTGAATTTGTATATATGTCAGAATAGGTACATTTTTAAATGTACCTCCAGCCAATCTCTCTCTCTATTTATAGCATGGGGAAAGGTTGACACAGTTGCCGTGTTTGTTTTGCTTCCTCTGCCCTTGTTCATAAGATTTCACATCACTTTCTGTTTCTGTGATAATTGGATTTTGAAAAATTTGGCTGAAAAATGTGGAAACAAAGATTGGCAAGAAAGCTTCAATTGAGATACATTTTCCCTTCATAACTCAGGAGTGAATTTCCCATCTGGGGGTAGATTTCTCTCACTTCCTCTTGTCCCACTCCTGTTTTTAACTATGAGCCATTTATAAGTCAGATGTCAGTAACTCAGTGACTCTCTGTATATCATTCATATATATATATATATATATATATATATATATATATATATATATATATATATATATATATATTCTCATTACTAAATAATAGATTATAATGCAAATAATGTTACTTGAAGTTTTGAAGCCATAAAATATCAAATACATGATGATTCATTTTCCGCCTCTATGGATATAGAATAAATCTTCCAAATTAAACTTGGTTCATTTTTACAGGATGGCCTAGAAGTTTAAAAGAGAGTAAAATATGTCTGTGGAATTTTTGCCTTTCTGATCTCCTGAAATGAATCGCAGATATTTAGTTTGACCCCCATTATCTTTTTTTCAGAAATAAAATAATAAAATATCAAATAAGTTGTGATATCTTGGAATAGAGGAGATCTTATTTTTAGTTTTTGGTAACTTGAAATAGGGCAGATGAAGTTTGCAAGAATTTTTATGACACGTTTAGTATTTTTTTTCCCTGTGTACTAACATCAAATAATTCTAGGCTTAATTTCTTAAAATGCTATATGCCTTTATTTATTTATTTGCTGTATTTATATCCTCCTTCCTCACCCCTCTGGGGACTCAAGGCAGTTTGCAACATGTTAATTTAATGCCAACATACAAGTAAAACAGGAAATCATAATAACTGATCACTACATATAACTATGACTTAACTGCACTAGCCATATCAACTGCACTAGCCATATTAAGCTACCAAACATGCTATAATGAGGCTCCTTGGTTAGTATCTGAGTTAACCAAACTGGGGTGCTCCTATGGCTTGAAATGTATGAAGAAAGGGTTTCTAATGTTCTAGAGTTGGTCATTTTGTCACATATTATAGAAACCATTCATTATGAAGCATATCAATTCCATCAACCCCCTTTTTATTACTCCTGAAGCATGCTAACATATCTCCTTGAACCCTTTTATATAAGCTGAGCTGAAATTGTGTCTTTTTCCTGGGGATACCTGTGGCCTGGGAACTTTTTTTGGAGCTGTTCAAAGATCTCAGTTAATGAGTTTAAACCAACTTGATGCTCATTGACTGGTAGGGTCACCCACCTTAGCCAGAGTGACCTGGATGAGAAGTCTTCAGTCTAGTCGAGTGGTGTAATAGATAATTAAGTGTTCCAGCCAGGAGAGAGGCCTGTGTGAATTGTCATAATTTTATGGGGATGGTTGGCAAGGCTCATGGATCCATGATTGGGTGACCAGTGTCTTTCACGCATTGGAATTGTGTGGTGATCTCCAGTGGGGACTTGAGTATGGCATGGAGATGATCCTGTCCAGCAGGGGGGAGACACTTTACGCACATGCCCTGGTATCTGCATAGCATGCTAGGGTTCCATCCATTTGGACCATCTTGTACTGTCCCAAGGGATCAATATGTGGATTTGTTAGTGTCTGAGCCCACATGTATGCCAACTCTATCTACAATTGTAACCAAGAACATTGTGGCCTATTTCTTCTGACTTATATGGTATGTGATGTACTATGTGGAGTGAAACCCATCCCTGCACATCATTCTTTTTATTGTTGTTACTCAATTTGAAAAGACTAGTTTCATGGCAAAATCCAAACTTGACAGTTGACCAGCTTTTCTTGCCTTTGATGAAGCTAGCCCAGCAGGGAACAGTGACACACGGAATGATATTGGCAGCCCCAGTCTGACTTACAGTTTTAATATGTATGTGATACCTGTCATGTAGTCCTTTTAGGTATCACTGTGTCTTTAGTTGGTTGCCATATTTAGGACCAAAGAGGAATTTTGAGGAGTGTCAGAATTGATTAAGGATCATGTCCTTTTGTCACCTACTCTGTGTTGTGCATCTAGGATATGAATTTTAATAATGAAGTATGAACCTTGTACTCACCGGACCAGTATCCATTGTTTCATTTATTCACTAACAAAATATGCCCTCTCTAGGTTCTTCCACAAAACTCTGTGGTGTTCTTGGGCCAGAAGTCTTTCATTTCAATAGAATTCACTATTATCTGTGGTTTTGTGTATCCACACAGTCTGGGGATGTATCCTCTGTAAAAGTACAGTGGTCATCCTGTATTCTTAATGTTGATCGTACTATTCTGCACTCTTTTGAACTGGACTAATTGACTTTTTATTCATTGTATTGCTATGCCTCTTTGAATCTGAATAGCAGGTGGGAGCTCAAGGTTGAAGTTCCTGGTGAATACGTTTGAGTCATCATGTGACCACTTAGGTCCCTTCTACACTGTCCTTATATCATAGGATCTGATCCCAGATTAACATCTTATCCCAGATTATATGGCAGTGGAGACTCATATTATCCAGTTCAAAGCAGTTAATCTGGGATAGAAGGGAATATGACCTCAAGGAACTGATAGGTGGACTGAATCAAAAGCTAGCCAAAGCCATCGTGGCCTACCAGGACTTCCTACCTACATTTCCAATTTAGAATTTTGGCTGAGATGGAATAGGACATTGCCTCACAGCATCTTTTAGCTGAAGTGTTTCACTTTAAAAATGCCATTAATGGGCAACCTCTACACTCACAGTATTTATTAGTAGCTTTGGGAATTACTTTCAATACTACAGACTGGTTTTGTTTTATTAATATTAGGTCCATTTTAAAATCCAACTTTGTTATCTTTATTCTTGGGGTGAGACAATACGTTTACATGGAATACATGGCATGATTGTTATTATAGCTGCTTGTAATAAGTAGCTGACTTTTAAAATAGTAAAGAAGTTAGCATTTGACTATATTACAATTAGCTAATTCTGTGATTCGAACTGCATGAGAGATCTAGATGTAAACTGCAATCTAGCATCAAAATGTATACCCTGATGATGCTATAATATGTAAATTTAAACCTACAAATAAGAACACAGTTGGATCAGTTTGCGTAAACAGCCATCCAAAACATTAGCAATTATATGTCTGAAATTATCGCAATATCATTCTGATATTGGTGTTATTTATTCTTGATTTTGTTCACTAATAGTCATAGTTGCAGTTGCACTAGTTCCAACAATTCTTAATTGGTTTTGCTTTAGTAGCGGAACACATATAAGTAGACCTGAAACGTCAGTTTCTTCCCGGCTTGACTAATTTGTACACACAATCTCCAGAATAAATGCTAGAAGCAATGGGAGGTATTGAACAGATTTCAGTCTCAAATCTATACACACTTTCAAGGGAGTAAATCCTCTTGAAAGTTACGGACCTTCTTCTGCATAGATATGCTCTGCTTTAAATCTAATAAGTGAAATGTTGAAACTTAAATGCTTCACAAATTTATTCACTTTATGTGTTGTATATTAACAAGCCTATTTTTACTTGCAATAATGCATGTCATGCAGTGTTCTATTACCTTCATTGTAGATAGCTCTGTATTGCCCGTGCATGTTTTTATCCATTGTGTTCATACCTTTCTGAAATGAGTGCATGTTCGCTTAGCTTTTGAGTTTTAGCAGTGTTCATTGCAAAGAGATTTCATCATTGGAGAACTCTGAAAGCACTGCGTGTTCATCCAGTTACCTTCTGTTACAGTCAGTCTGATTAGTGTTAGAATATGTAAAAAGTAAAACCTTCAGAAATGTGAGCAAATTGAGGGATATGACAAGTGTGAATGTATCTTTGAAAGTAATATTTACATTACTTTCACAAGCAACAGTTTTCTATAATTTTGGAGAAAAAGGCTTTGAGTGGCATGTATTTAAATATAATTTTCAAATGCAGTATAAATTTATGTGTCATTCATTTCTGTGCAACTTTCAGCTTGCAGATTCCTAGTTGCGAATCCAGTAATAGTAGGTGCCACCTTCCAAATACATTGCAAAAAGAAAGTGAACAACATACTGACAATATATTTTGTAAAAAAAGGGAGGGAGAGATAAAAGGTCCTTGTCTTCCGTAGTTTTGTTAAAAAATGTGCATCAGTATGGATGTCTGTTAATATACAGGCTTATATAT